AGGGGGTTTTTTTTTTTTTTTTTTTTTTTTTTTTTTTTTTTTGCAATAACCATAGCATGTATTTAATAAAACACTTTTATTCAAATCAAAAATGTAAAATGTCAAGTGCCCCAAATTCTACATTATATTATAAACAGTCCTGAAGTTAATAAAGCTCAGCTCGCTGTCATCTATTCAGAATGTCTGTGGTCTGGAGGCAGATGGGTATGGCTCACAGTGATCAGAATTATGAACCACGTTAAGCTGTGCTGAAATGTATGCAGGCAACATGCCAGGCCACCCGTCTGGGGTCCCGTGTAGAGAGGGTCTCTCGCCCCGGTTATCAGAGTCAGTGCCACACCCCACAGGCTAACAGGTGTCGCTCTGAAATGTCAAGCAGCCAAAGGGAGCAGCAGAGGGCCAGGAAGCACGTCTCTGACCCCCAACACATGATCCACTGAACCACACACACATGCAAAACAAATAAATCCCCTAACTCCTCCAATACCTCAAGCACAGCAAGAGCTTCATCTTTAAAGACCACATGAATTGGCATTCACAAAGCATTGAATATGAATATGAATTTCATTCTTCTGTAGAACACAAAAGAATATATTTTGAAGAATTTGGGGAACCTAATCAGTTGTTGGTAGCCACTGATTTCCACACAGCATGGGAAAAAAAATAAATACTACGGAAGTCAATGGCTACCAGCAACTGTTTGTTTAGCCGCATTCTTCAAAATGTCTTCTTTTGTGTTCAGCAAACACATACAGGTTTGGAACAAATTGAAGATGGAATTTTTATTTTTGGGTGAACTATCACTTTAATTAAATATGACTTAACATTAATTTAATTTAATTTATACAGCATCAGTTACATCCAAGATGTCAGGGTTTGGCTGGTTAGCATTAGTACAACAATATTTTTTTCCATTGATGGACATTCTTATATAGCTGCATATCCTGACCAAACAGGGTTGATTTTCATTTCAAGTTGTTTTTTAATCCCTGCATGGGAAACCACAGGTGCTCATAAAAGTGTCTCCTCATTAGAGGAGTTTCTGCAGTAACTCTTTATTCAAAAATAAATAAATAAAAAAATAAAAATAAAAAGACTAATTTGATCGCTCTCACGGCAGTCGTTACGCATGAACTCCATCTTCCACTGTAAATTGCATTTTAATTCACTTTTAGTTTGTCTTATTGTTGAATATTTACAAGCACGCACACAGTTTAGTGAATCAATCAGTGGCATCTAGAGACTGCTGGGAAAGTGGGCAAATTAATGTGTCCTAGGGATGTCAAAAGACAGCACTTTGGAAGCAAATTGAAGCTAACAAAAACCATACACATACATTTATTAGTCTTTAGAGCGCATCGGAAGTACCAAGTACAGACCCAATTTGGTGCACATGCCTCACAGATGCACATGAATAGTCAAACAAGTGCAACATAGTGCTTTCTGACAAGGTAAACAGTAGATTTGTAAACAAGCAAGAAAAAAATTATTTGCCAAAAAATCAGAGCATTAGGCTTCGCAGTGTAAATGTATAATAAACTAGTAGCCACTGTCCTTCCTATATGTCATTAAAATGAATCAAAGAACATTACTGATTGTGGAAAATTCATTGAAAATTTTGAAGCAATGTTTACCCCACTAAAATACTTTGTTACATGCCACTTTTTAATTTTGATAATATTAATATTAGATTCTTTAAAGAAAGGAATGATCAACAACATTGATCTTAACTTGATATTAAGAAATATGAAACATCACTGGTATTGGTACTGAAATATTGTATAGTGACAATTCTATTATGACAGAAAAAGTGAAGAAACGAAAGAGGGGTTGTAATTCATTGCAGCTCACCAGGTTTCAGATTTCTCTCCTCCAGCACAGCCAGCCATTTCGCTCCAGTCCCAAAAATCGTGATTCTGTCAACAAATGATAAAACAAATGGACAAAAATGGATGTTAACAATTATTTGTATATTTTAAATGTATAAAAGCAAAATTGCTTTCTTAGAGCTAGTCAAACCAAACTGAAATTTAGGAGGTGCAATACAGGGCAGGCTGGCAGCATCCTTAAGGAACCTGAGGTACGCATACCCCTGGTTGGGAAATCACTGCACTTATAGGCCACGTCTCTGAGAAATATGAGAACCTAATTTCCACAGCACTTTAGATTTCCACGCTTTCACTATAGAACAAAAAGTGGAACACTTTCAGTGTCAATAAGGTGGAATTGATCTAAATGGCCAGTTGACCTGCAGAGGCCTTGGTCAGCCATCTCTTGATGGAATCACTCAGGGTCAGAAATCAGGGGCCGAGGGTCAAGCCAATGCAATATCACAGACAAGCTTAAATGCTGTCAACACGGTTGTGTTAGTGTAATTTCCATTTGACTAGCACAGTGTTGTACTGTGTTTACTGCAAATTTACAGTACAACAAACTTTCTACTACACAGGTTGTATAATAAATGAAACTGCCCATTCCTAAATGCAATTGGAACAGAACTGTAACTGCAAGAATTAAGTCTAACCAATGGTTTACAATTAAACAGTGAAAAAAGGATTTCTATGTACTTCAATGTTCACAATGCACAACTCGAAGAGCAGCAAAAAAATTAAAAAAAACATCATTCAAAAATTGTCAGCATATTGCAGCAATTGTCAGCAACTACTCATTTTACATTCAAAGAGGTTAACCAATCACAGGGAACTTGCATAAAGTGTAAAATGTATAGCATTAAAAACATTTAATCTTTAAGCAAAAAAAAAAAAAAGTCAGGTAAACCTAATCGAGATTTGTCTTAGACAATTAAAGGGTTAGTTCACCCAAAAATGAAAATTAGACTGTTTTACTCACCCTCGATGCATCCTAGGTGTATATGACTTTCTTCTTTCAGACGAATCCAGTCGGAGTTATATAAAAAATTGTCCTGGCTATTCCAAGCTCTATCATTGCAGTCAGCGGGTCTTGCAGTTGAACAGTCCACAAGTCGTCAAATAAAGCGTGCGCATCCATAACAAAACGTGCCTCACACGGCTCCTGGGGATGAATAAAGGCCTCCTGTAGTGAATTCATGTGTTTTTGTAAGAAAAATATCCATATTTCAAACGTAAGAAACACTTTTCATACGCGGAAGCCGTTCCGGCAGATGACGCAGCACGTATGCGCAGCGCGCGCCTCTGAGATATGCTAGTCTCGCGAGTTTGCTAAAGTAAGGAAACTTTGCTTCCTTTGCTCCTATAATCAAAGGAAAACCAGTCTCCTCTTGGTTTATATCGAAATCCTCTGACATTTTTCTTTGCAAATCCTCGGTTTTTACTTCTAATTCGTGACCGGCGTTTTGTTTTATTCTCTCTCCGCATTCGTCACTAATCAAGCAACGTCGACGTGCTGCGTCATCCGCCGGAACGGCTTCCGCGTATGACAGATACCGGATGTGAGACAAAAGTGTTTATTACGTTTGAAATATGGATATTTTTCTTACAAAAACACATGAATTCACTACAGGAGGCCTTCATTCATCCCCAGGAGCCGTGTGAGGCACGTTTTGTTATGGATGCGCGCGCTTTATTTGACGACTTGTGGACTGTTCAACTGCAATACCCGCTGACTGCAATGATAGAGCTTGGAATAGCCAGGACAATTTTGAATATAACTCCGACTGGATTCGTCTGAAAGAAGAAAGTTATATACACCTAGGATGCATCAAGGGTGAGTAACACAAGCTAATTTTCATTTTTGGGTGAACGAACCCTTTAATCTGCAAAATATCAAAAGCTGCACATAAATGTAATTAAGTATCCATCTAAACTTATATGTCATTCTCTGTTTGTTTTTTTCCTCTCTCTATAGTGTCCAAAAAGAGACGTCCACTATGTGGATAGGTGCCATGACAATGTCCTGCTTGCGTGTGATTGGTGGCAGCTGGCAAGGCCTGGTTAGTAATGGGTCATTTAGGATGTAGGAAGAGAATTGTATATGAAATTAAATGGAACGTGATTTCACAAGCAAGATATCAGTCAGGGAAAAAAATGGGAAAACTTGCCAGTACCAATCCAATGATATGACCAACCACTGATCTTCCTTCCGTTTATAGCATCATGGATTTCTGATTTACTGCATAGTCTATCCATAGAATTCATCCTGGGGTTGTTCATTTGTCTAATATTAAAGAAGTGAAGCTCGTCTAAATATTCAGACAGCTCATTTCGTATAAGCCACATAATTTTGGCCCCATCTGTGCATGGAAAATTACAACTGGCAAATGAGACAATTAAGCAAGTTTGGAATATAGAAGTAACATCTTAAGCAAATGCAATTCAGTTAGACTTCCGTTACAATATATAGGTGTATACCAGATCTTAACCTGATATTGACTAGATACTTCGCGTATTGGTGAAAGATCTAGGTTTATAACCAACAGGATGGAGGTTCAAAGGGGAGATCCATCAGCACTGAGAAACAGCACTCAGAACCAGGTTTCTCCAAGGCTATCCCTTTAACTCACCATGGCAAAGTCATGGAAAGTTTCACTGGCCCCAAATGTGCAGTGATACATAAATATCGTAACTGGATTGTAATATGCTCATTCTTGACTTTAAAACCCAGCTCATTTCAGATCCCGGACGAGCCCCCAGTTATAAGTCCCAGCTCAATGTGTATATCAGTGGTGTCCAATCCTGCACCTTTCATCAGAATTTAGCTTAAGCCTTAACCAATTAAACAAGCTCTACCAAACAGGTGTGCTGGAGTTAAACTTGACAGGAAGTCGGCGCCGATGGCCTCGTGGGCAGCGTGCCGACATGTAGCGCTGTTGCGCTTCAGGCGTCCCGAATTCGAGTCCCGGCTCGCGGTCTTTTCCTGATCCCACCCCCCTCTCTCTCACCCACTTCGCTTCCTGTCGAGTCGACCTACTGTCCTATCTAAATAAAAGGCATAAAACACCAAAAAAAATCTAAAAAAAAAAGAAAAAACTTGACAGGAAGGTGGCCTTGCAGAAGCAGGATTGGACACCCCTGGTGTATATCTTGACCAACTCAGTTAAGGAAACAAACAAAGTAATTACAATAATTCAGAGGATGAAATATCTACATTATTTAACTTGTGCCAGAAAAGCTAGGTAGCTCCAGCAACCTAAGATAAGATTCAATGAACGTAACACTCTGGACTGAATTTAAAACAGTTAGAATTGATTTTGGGTTCCTCTCAAATTATGGGGAAAGTATTGTGTCTATTGTCTTACGTCAACACAATCCATTCTTAGTCTCTTCTGTTGTATAAATGACCAAAAACAGGAGCTATTTTTCCCCAACTACGACAATATGGGACAAAGAAAGAGTTGTCTAGCATGACCAAGTTTCACAATGGTCCTTTGTCCAGAATAGGTTTCCCTTACGCATTTTCCTTCATCTACACGGGCATCCCGTTTGCCTTCTGATTGAATATTGATCATTTGTAAACATTAAACACAATTAACCTGAAAGGCGAGCAGTACAAGATAAAAGCTAATCCAGGATCAGTATATTCGTACGACTAAGCATGGAGGAACAAAAGAGAGCGAAAGAGAGGACAAGTTTTATTCATCATGTAGTGGACATCGGTGAGAGTTCTACCTTTTCTGCAGAACGGAGGTGGACAGGTTGATTCAGTCTGAAGTTTGTGTTGCAATGGCAAATGTCTACAAATTTGGACAGCATGATCAAATACAGCCAAGTACAAAGGAATGTTTCCCTGCTAACACAACTGTTCGCAGACCTTGACTGAAGCGAAGATCCCAGAATATATTCCCTCACAAACTTACTTACAAAGAAATGGGAGAAGTGTTTCTTGACAATGTAAACAGACAACAGGAAGGATAAGCTTGTGATTGTTTTATACAGAATTTCTCAGAACAGGAAAACTAAGATACAGAGCTGAAAAACACAGATGAAACAGAGCTGGGTGAGATTTCTGGAGCAGTTTGATATTTTTCTATTTATTTTTGCTCCAGTTTCCTAATGCCTTTCTCACTCGTAGCTTCATTGGCTGTTGCTTATTGCTGCCCTCTCGCTTGTCAGGATAGTGAACACAACTGAAGACTAAATGGAACAGATTTCAAAGCCTGAAGCAAGCTTGAAATCTGTCGTAGCCTCGACAGCCATAGTGTCTCTCTGAAGTGTGCTTAAGTCCTGTAGTGTGCACTCAGTTAAAAGGCCCAATTTGATGTTTAAAAGAATGGAAAATAAGATCTTTCTTGCTCTTTTGAAATAAAACAAGTTGCCATGTAAACATCCGCCTAGTCTAATAAAAAAAAGTTGAGGTTGACTGCTTGGAAGTTCTTAAAGTCATGATGAAATGGAAGCAGCAAAAGATCTTCTGCATTGTGACAAACATTTCAATGTAACAGATTATCATAAAATGTAGGGGGCACTTGGTTCTATCCATCAGTTGTTGATTGGAATTAAAAGGTAAAATGTTTGGGTTTGATTTACACTGAATGATGGCGCATCCACTAAATTTAAAAAAGAACCATCTTCTTTTCATTATCACAATAAACTCTAAATAAACCCTAAACTGCCCAGGGAAATAACTTAATTGATGTCACAGACAGGGCTCTAACTTAAAGCTAATCTCACAAAGACTCTCAGATACAAACCAGAGCTGCTTTCTTTTAGGACTGTTAAATTTAACATTATCCACTTAATACAATTAATAACTATATAAAATAATGTGACTAAACACATAACACAGTTTAAGGATGCCCTCTGACCCATATGTAAATTCGACATTAGGAATATTCCTACCATTGGAGCAATTCGTGCTTGAAATTCAGCTGCTACTAAAGGCAACACGCCTCACCAAATCACATTTACAGAGAGCAGACCGCTCAAAAACAGTTCACACAGGATGCATTCTTGCGTTTAAAATAGCAAGATAGAGTGCAACTGCATGGAACTGAACGCAGGGGTTTTGAGACATGCAAAAGATGCAACAGACCTATAGTTAAAAAAGTACAGAATAAATGCTAGAATGTGTCATGTGTGAACTTTACTTCAGACCGAATGAAAAATTTAGTTGCAAAATGAATTGTTGTGGACTGTAGAACCGTACTAGCCTTATATTCAATTATTTGGAAATCAAACCAATTGAAGTAATTTTTTGTCAAATCTCTTGCTTTACTCGTTTGCCACAGTGTTATATCTTGAAATTTATGCTTCATGTGGGGGCTTTTTGCAATTAATATAATTAAATTTCACATACACTACCATTCAAAAGTCTCAGGTTGGTAAGATTATTTTGTTGTTGTTGTTTTAAAGAAGTCTCTTATGCTCATAAGGTTGCATTTATTTGATCAAAGATTAAATAAACAGCAATATAGTGAAATAATTTTACAATTTAAAAACAATTTTTTATTTGTTTTATTTGTTTGTTGCTGCCATGTGTTTTGAGTTTGAGCTCCGTCAAGTTAATTCTTTATCGTCTATTTTTTATCTTAAAATCAATTTTATACACCATTTTCGTTTCTATAACGTGTGAATATATCCCCTATCGTATTCTACAACAAACACAATCAGAGCGCCTTGTTATCACTAGTTTTATTTGATTTCCCAAGTCTGCTATTAGCATATATCCCATTAGCATCGCCAGCGTGGTTGCCGCTAATCTCGCTTACATTTCTAATTCTCTATTCACACACATTACCATTGTTTTACTCACTGTTACTTGCTTTAATGGCGGATGTGTGTCTACCTTTGAGTGCAGGTTAGGACACTTTCGAGCTGCATTCGGTGCAGCTCGAGCTGGAGGCCGTGGACCAGATCCGCGACCTGGTGGAGAGGCAGGCCCAGCTGAGAGAGCGGAGAGCCGCGCTGGAAACATCCCGGGCTGACGTTCACAAGTCCGGGGTAAGTATACAGCGCGCTGCTAATTCTTCCACCACCTCTATTCCGTGTGTTTCTCTGCACAGGCCCGGTGCACCCAGGACGCGATCTTCCCAGATGTCCTTCACTCCGGCGTCGGGACACCACGGACCCTGGGTGCACCCGCAGCGGAAGACGCGAGCCAGGCCCCAGGGCGATGACCTCTCCCCCTCCGCCGCCTCCGGTCTTCGAGGTCTCCACCCGGAACCGCTTCGCTCCCCTCCGCAAGACGGAACGCAACGCTGTGATCATCGGAGACTCCATCGTCCGTCACGTCCGTGCTACGATAGCTGAAAGTAAATTGCACACCCACTGTTTTCCTGTGCTCGTGTTCTCGATGTTTCTGCACAGATACCCGTGATCCTGAAGGGCGACGAGAGCCCCGGAGCAGTCGTGCTTCACGCGGGAGTTAACGACACCAAGCTGCGGCAGACGGAGACACTGAAGAGGGACTTCAGGAGCCTGATCGAGAC